TTGAATCAAAGTATCACTCTCGAGTGGGAGACTGTTGCAGAGAGAAGAGGCTGGTGATAGTAAGCGTAGGAGTGGAATTGAATTATTGATCACCACCATGCCAATAAGCGACCATGATATGTCCAAGTTTGTTGCAAACTTGGGCCATGTAGAGGAAATAATTGAGAGGTTTATGAGTAGCCTCTTTTAGGTGAAAGTTACAACATCATATGGCTAAGAGAGCAATTGAATGGTTTATAGTTCAAATCTCTTAGAGTTTTCATTATTGATATTGATTTCTTCACTACAAGATAAGGAGTACATGTAATCAAGACTAATATGGGTAAGTTTGATGTATATAGTGGTTTTGAAGGTTTGATATGTGGGGAGTAGGCCATTAGAATGTAAAGGAAGATATCTCATGATCCACATGAGAGCCAGTTGCTACAATATTATTGACTAAAGATTTGATATTAGATATATTGGATCATAGTGAGATTTGTTACGTAGATATTTTGAAGCTCATTTTTTTAGCTCAATCACCTATGATCAATTATTATATTGGAGGAGTTTTTAAAGAATTGCATTAATTTCATAGCTATAATTTTGGAAATGAATGTAAGGTAGCATAGTAAGGGAGATTGTGGAATAATTCGTAGCAGAAAATGTTTTTATAGAGTTGTGAACTGATATATTCAAGATTGTTGGTAATTTCACTTTTGGGAGAGATGGTTTTTTTTGGGTGGACAATCGGTTAAGCTATTGAGGAAGCCAATGAAGTCATCGAATGACAATATTTTGAGGATTTGAAGACACCAAATGGGATAATTTGCACTATTGAGTTAAATGTGCATGATGTTTTTGTCGTACCCTAAAATCCAATTTAAAAGAATTGTTCATTTTAGATTTTTGAATCATCTACCATAGCTAGTAATAATCATCCATATAATAAAAATATATATGTAGCAAGATCAATCTTTAATTTTCACAATCTCAAAACTTGTATATTTCATTTCATCTTCCAAAAATCATTTATTTTATTCATGAATACATCTTTCAAAATAATATATCTTAATATATTTATGACTACAAAAGAATAAATAGAAATTAAAATAAAAGGAAAAGCCTAAACCAGAATTGGATTTGTGTCAATCAAATAAATCCTTACCTTCCCTAAAATCATAAAAAAATATCATATAATGAGCATAAGCTTAGTAGGTCACCAGAGACTATCTTTGCATCCATGCATGAAAAACTAAAGAAAAGGTATGTAATCATTCAAATCAATAGTATAGCTTATTTATCATAAATTCAAATCCATAGGAACATATCAATATGAACATTAGTTATCAATACTAACAATATTAATCAATATGAATCATAACGATGAAAGTGAGTAGTAATCATTAACTTAGTTCTATCCCATCGTATGGGAAGAGCTACAAAAAAATATTATACGAATTAATGAAGCAAAGCAATTGTATATTAGATCTATAAATTATCAATGCATGTTAACATCAAATTTTCATTTTTACATCCTATATATATTCATATTAATACAAGCTAGGACATATTCTAATCATATGGTGTAAAGGGTATCTTTGTCCAATCAACTTAAATTTACCCAAGAAACCCATTATTCTGGATATATGATCTACCCAGGAAACAGTAAGATGTATCATAATTTGAAGCTGATATTTTGGCAGCGAAGATTAAACTAGGTTATAGCTTAAATTTGTTTCCAAGTGTGAGACTTGTCAGATGGTGAAGACTATACATTAGAGTCCAAGTGCATTATTGTAACCCTTATCTATTTAGATTGGAAGTGGGAAGAAATCATTATAAAATCTGTTATGTCTTTTCCAAAATTGAGATAAGGAAATGATGTTATGTGGGTCATTGTGGACAAATTGACTAAGTCTACTCATTTTCTTCCCATGAGCCAGACAGACTTAATAGATAAGCTAGTACAACTTAATGTCAAAGAGATTAACATGTTACATGGAATAACCAAAGTGATTGTGCCAAATCATGATAGCAGGTTTATATCTATGTTATGAAAAGGAATTCAAGGAGGTCAAGGAACAAAGTTAAACTTGATTACAACTTTTCATCCACATATAGATAGAGATTTTTTTATGGTCATTCAGATATTAGAAGATTTGCTAAGATTATGTGTGCTGGACTTTAGAGGAAGTTGGAAAGATCATGTGCCATTTGAATTTTCCTACAATAATAGTTTTTAGATGAGTATTGGAATGGCCCCATAAGAAGCCCTATATGGAAGAAGATGCAAGTTATTGTTAGCCTGACAAAAGTAAGAGAAAGAATACTAATGGGTTTTGAGCTAGTAGACATTACTATAGATAAAGTTAAATTGATTAGGATGTGATTTGAAGTAGCTAGGATAGACAAAAGAAGTACTATGATCTAAAGTATGAGTTACAGATATTAGGTTGGTGATTTTATTTTCTTGAAGAAACTCAATGAAAGGAATAAGCATAGTTGGTAAAGAAAGAAAATAAATTTCAAGATGCATTCATCCTTTTGAAATTTTTGAAAGAATTGAAAACACTACTCATATTACTCTTGTCTAATCATATGTTAGATATCCATAATTTTATTTCATAAATCATTACAAATGAAGTGGGTTTTTAATCTTGAAGAAAAAGTTGAAATGCAACCAATCTAACCTATAGTGAAGAACTTGGAACATATCTTGGCCTATGATATGAGAAAATGAGATAGTTATATCCAAACTTATTTTGAATGACTATTCATGTGAAAATGTCAGGATGACATTTTTCTAAGTAGAGAAAGATGTAATATCCATGCTACAGAACATATAAGAAATTTTTAATCCCCTTGTTCATGACTAATTCAAAGTTATTATAAATTTAAATAAGATATGAGGTTGAGAACTAAAAGAAATGTTGTGTCAACTAGACATTACAAGCAATGCAGCACTAGCTTGGACGGCGTTGTGGCACTAAGCCTTCTACTTAGAGAGAAGGAAAATCATAGGCACTAGGAGTGTGGTGACATTGGATAGTGAGCTCTGCAATGTTGACCTCTCTATCAGGTAATATCTAGAATATTCCAACTGAGCATAGCAATGTTGCATATTGGAGTAGTCTGTAAACCCGTTTCCAAACTCATTTCACTATTGAGCTGACCAGAGGAGAGGAGAGACAGGAAAATAATAAAGAATGAAGAGAAAAGATTTTGAAGGCCATAATATGAGATTCATCCATGATTAATTGTAATCAATGTAACATAATTAGTACAATGATTTATATGCAATAAATCTAGACTATTGAGAGGTGTAAGAAGTCCATAAGAAAATTGGAATATAAATTAAAACAATTTCACAGACCTCTTCAAAAGCCATAATAACTCTTGATAGCAAAACATAAGTTTTCGATCATCAATTTTAAATTATTGACAATTTTAGATAATATCAATCATACAATAATAAGGAACATCTATTATATCATGGAGATCAATTGTATTTGCTTAGAGACATCAATCATGTAACTTAGATATGAGATGTGCATACTTCCATAATATCATACATGTGTGTATAATACTTTCCAAAATTAAAAGCACTACATTTATTGTCCAAGCTGCACTAGAATGTACAAAAGTTTTTGGAAGGATGCCTACTTTAAAGTACATTAAAGCCTTGAAATTAAAAGATAAATTTGTACATGCCCTTGCAACTTGATAATCAAGTAGGGGTATCCATTTTGATGGACTTATTAGGATACAAAATTAGGATGATTACCAAATATATGATAGATTATTTACTTTTCTATTCATTATAATGGGTCATTTCAACATGATGTTGTACCTAATTTCATGCTTGAAGACCATCATCAAATACCAATCTTTCAAGCATATTTGGAAGAACATTATATTGATGACTTCATCCTATAATGATAACATATTTTTAATATTATTTATAAGGCCCTTTGGGATTATTTAACACCAAAATGTATAATTAAGATAGGCATAGGTAGACAGAGGTGGTGAATCAAGTGAAGTTCAACAAGTTGAGAAGGTAAAAATTTTGGCATCAAAGACTTGGGATGAAATCTTCCATCCATGCAGTTCAATCAAGATAGCTAAGGAGCCTATTTGGTTGGCTGAAAAAAAAAAAAAAAGTAATGTAAACAAAATGCATTACATTTAAATACTTTAGAGTTATTTGGATAAGTGTAAAATAAATGCAAGTGATTGCTTTTTTGTTTGATTGAGGTAAATTAATGCAGCGTAAAGTTCAATAATAGTGGTAGTCGTCGACAGCAATGCCATCCGACAATGGTGGTCGTGGCAACAATAACAAATCGCGGTAAGCGATGTGGTAGCAATAATGATGGGGGAAATAGAAGAAGTTGAGTGGAGGCAACAACCACTTGGTTGGCCATCGAAGGTGGGTGGTGTTGGCAAGAGTGGGTGGCTAACAATGTTAATGGTAGCGACAAGCGGCAGTTAGAGGTAAGCTGCAAGTGGTGGCTAAAGGAAGGTGTAGGCAATAGAGGTAGGTTGCAAGCGATGGTCGAAGGTAGGTGTAAGCAATAGGTAGTGGTGGGTGGTGGTAATGACAATGCATTTATGATATATTTGAATATTGCCAAAATCAAAGGATTTCCTCATACACCAAATTTACAATAGATGTTGCATTCCAAATATATCAAAATATTATGCTGCACATATTTTACCTCAAACTAAACATCAATATCCTCAAGACTCATGCATTTGAAATACATTATATCTATTTTACTTTAAACCAAACAGCCCCTAAGCCAATATTTTTGTAGTGCTCCAACTTGTATGGCCAAATTTAAAGTTTTCCCCAATCTACCTCAAATTTGAAGATAACAGACATAGAAGTCCCTGAAGGATTGCTAGATTAAAATTATTTGTATAGGATTGCTAGAATGTGAAGCACTGCAACCAGGGAAATAATCCTTTTTTGAGCATATGAACTTGAATTCCATGAGCTAAGTATCAGTAAATGAAATAAGCGAGTTGGGAGGACCTGCCCTTTCTAAATAAATTAATACATTAATCTGTTATAAATCCAATAGTTTTCAAGACATATATGACTTGTGCAGAACACAATAAAAATGCAAAGTTGACTCATAAGATAACTCATATAAGAGCTTGATGGCTTTTTAGTGCAGGTAAGCTCTTTGCAGTTATCATGATAACTATGGAGACGCAGTTAAGGCATCCCATCCCATCCATCCAATTCATTTTGGATGATTTCAAAATCATTATAATTTATAAAGATTAAATAACGTTGGCTGGCTGGAATACCTCTTTTGAGCAAGCAGAGCTAATAAACAGGGTACCTGCCGTTGTAATTGCACGACGAAAAATTGTTGATAAACAGTTTTCAGACATCGCATCAAAGCTACTGTATTTCAGGCATCAGATCAAATCATGCCGTTTTCTTCTTTTCACCAAAAAATAACTTCCAGCTATAGGTATCTCCATTTCTCTTTGCAGCCTCCAACCTATTTCCACCAATCTGCAACAAGATTTAATCAAAATATGTATATCAGAACAATACTTTATTTGAAAGAGCTAAGTTTCCAATTAAATCTCTAGAGTAAATGGCATTTAGATGGTCCATGTATGGCTTTGATTGTTTAGTGGGACTAACGTCTTATGCTTCATTTAAAATTGGTTATACTTTCTGCTCTCATTGCTAGTGCTCTTCAAAAGCTGCTTTGTCATAATCAGATTTTCTAAAAACTATCCAACTTACTATGCATCCAAACAGACCCTATTTTATGCTGTATTCCGCATATTCAAAAGGTTTTTACCTTGTCCATAAACCAAAACCCAATTGTTGGCATGTATTGTACCAAGTACATAACTAGCAGAACAGGCTGCAAAACACAAAGAGAGAATGAGAAAAATATAAAGGCAGAATAAGAAAGAAAACAGAACCTAACGATTACCAGAGCAGTTACTTTCCTACTGCGTGCCCTCTTAAGAACACGGTAAGAATAAATTATTTGTTGATTTATAACAGAAATGAGAATTACTTGGTATGATATCCAAGCTTCCTTAAGATCATGGGTAGCTGCAACAATAGTAAGCTCGGCACATCGTTCTGAAGATACACGCCTCTGTCAAACCACAGGAAAAGAGAAAAAATGTCAGGCATAATCTATAACACTAAAGTTTAAGGGTGCAGAGATGTTAGATTTCCAAATATAGCTATCAGTTTGTATGCCATGAAAATAATAATGCCACCAAGCAAAAAATAGAAAAAGATAACTGTGTGTTCCTATTTTTTCCACACAACCTTAACTTAATTGCATTTATATTCCTAGAAGCTAATGCCCAGATAATAAGAAGTATCTAATAGCCTACACTAGAAATTAGAAAGTTGAAAGCACACTAGTGCTTGTGGCTGCCAGTTAAGTTGTAAAAATTTTAAGTTGTAGGCAAGGTCTTGTGACTAAATTCCTTCTGCATCAAATTTACATTTCAGCACTCAATCTTTTCACCCAAAAATAAAATTTTGTGATTCCTATTTTTTTCCAAACCTTGCGGTAACCATGCAAACAAAAACGTAAAACATCATTTTTAGAATCCTGGCCCAGAACATTTGAATTTATTTTATATTCATTAGTAACTGCCTCACTCTTGTGCTCTTCCTCTTGGTTGAGTTTGCGGATTGGTGTTTGTGTGTAATTTGTGCTTCAGCACACGAACTCCTCAAAAAAATTAATATATAACTTTCTTCTTAAAACAATACAAAAAGGGCCATGCATTTTTATTTCAATCTCGGTTCCCCTCCAATTACCATTTAATTCTGCGTTGAGACCATTACTTCACAGATGCCGAACACAAAAAATATTGATCAAATGCTTCGTGTTTTTCTACCCAAATGTATTACAAAATTATTCTTTTAAAGACTCAATTAATTGAGACTTACTACTTATAAATAAACAAGTAAATTCTCATTTGTTACTGTAATAGATGTCTAATCCAACAATAAGCTTCAACTCTCAAAAAAAATAAACATGAAAATAAATGGCTGCTAAATTATATTTTTTCTTTGAACATTTCCTTCAGCCTTAAGTGGTATATTGATAGGAAACACTTGAAATCAAGTATTTCCTATTCACCTTTACAGCAAAACTCTACGAAATACTGCTGTCCGGAGCAGGAAAACAGTAAAAACAGCGGAAAAACTGTAGAAAACTGAGAGAAATTCGTAGGAAAAACTTGTATTTTACTAGTAGAAGAATAAAACAGCAAAGATACAATTGATCCTCAATTCGAGAGGAGGGTCGATCTCTCCCAAATCTCTAGACGCCGCTAGAGCCCAAAGAAAACCTAAATCTAAGCGATCTCAAATTTCAGCCAAATTCCAGATGCCCAAAC